GATGAACGAAAATTATAAACAGGATGAATGCAGAATTAAGAACTGTTATGGGTCCTTACCCATAATAACATAATGGACTATTCCATACGTAATAAATACTGCGCCTCAATAGGAAGCAGGGAGTTCAGTCTGAAGTCTGGAGAGAAGTCCGTCAGGAGTCTGTCAGTCAGTCAGTCAGTCAGTCATAGCGAGTCAGTCAGTCGAGTCAGAGGCAGACCGAAACAGAGACGCGTTCAGACAATTACTACTAAGCCTGATTGTTCGTACTGACACTTTCTACTTCTCTGTATATATTCCTGTTTGTAATATATCTGTGTTATTCCATATCCGTGTTCGAGTTCTTCTTTATTGGTTCTACCTTGGACTATCACCGTGGTACAAGGAACCGGACCATGCATAACACCAGTTGACAATAGCAAAAAAAAAAGAAAAAATAGATTAATTATTTATCACAAAAAAATTAAAAGCTTTAACCTTATAGTTAAAAATAATAATTCACCTCCTAGAACAAAATTAAATAGGGCAAATATTATTTACGAATTTAAATGCCCATTAAGGAATTGTATTTCTGATCAATCAAAATTCGTAAATAATTATATAGGCCACACTACAACATGTTTGACACGCATACTCACTCTACACCTTTCTGACAATAGCTCAATTAGATCTCATTTAAATATTCATGGAGACCTACCGGACACTATTCGTAACATACTTGTTGACAACACTAATATAATAGCATCATCTACATGCAAAAAAAAGGCTAAAAATAATGGAAGCCTTATTAATAAAAACAAAAAACCAACACTTAATAATATTAACTTTGAACATGGACATAATATCTTGACTGTGTTTTGAAAAATGAAAACATTTTATAAAACATAGATACAACAAACCATTTCTTATTTTAACAGTTAAAATATAATCCTTGAAAATGGCTAAATAAAAGCACCTTGTCTGTCGTTTTAAATGAAATGTGCATGAAAGAAGGATTGCTGCCTAAATACACAAATATATATATATATATATATATATATATATATATATATATATATATATATATATATAATGCCGCTTTAAACGTTGCTATTTGTCAATACTTTTATTTGAGCAGACGCTCTTTTTATTTAAAACACAGAATATTTATTTTCATCTACCGGTCTGAATGTTCGAGAAATCTTATTGAGAAATTCTCGCTCTCTTTAATAAATTTCTTCGAACATTCACGCCTGTAGACAGAAATAAATGAATAAGCATAGTTTATTAAACAGATAGAGCGTCTACTGAAATATGAGTATCCAATATAAATAACGTTTAAAGTGATAAAAAATCTGTCGGATTAATAAAAATCCATTATTATGTGAATTTTCTTTCGAACATTTTTCTTTTTGTTAAGGTAATGTGGAAAGACAATATGTTGGTTATATCATTATTTTCTCTTCTAGTTAGATATACTATCCATTTTTTTTGTTTGAAGTATTCAATATGCCAACTTTGCCATAATTATTTTGGTATAATTGTTCACTTGAAAACCACAATCCGTTTGGCCATGTTTTCGGCCATGACGTCGCTGAGTGGACAAGCAACTTAACCTTGTAACTAATTCGAATTTGGAAAACGGTATAGCAGTAGAAAAATGGGGATGGAGGATACTTTTTTCCGTTATTATTATTATTATTATTATTATCTTTTTTGCTTAAAACAGATGATTATCTTATCACTAATAAAAGAATAATAGTTGATTTGTTTGGATGTCGATAAATAGATGGATTAAATGAGGATTAATTGGTACATTTGATAATTGGCGAATTTTTGAAAAGCTGTCGATAGCTAAGCTGACTGGAGCTGCAATAAAGCTGACTATAAAATGTACAAGATGAAGATTAAACAGAGAAAAATAAAGCTGAAAAGAAAAATGAGTTAAAGCAGAGAAAGGAAAGACATATCTAATTAATACAAAGACACACACACACACATATATATATATGGATACAAAAACATCCATTTTGTTTCAACAATTCTGGCGTTTTATCAAGTGATGGTGTTGAGCGTTGAAAAAAAGGTTTTAAAAGGTTCAAATCAATCAAACACCGCTCGCTAGGAGAAACGCTGTTACATGAGCTGGAATGACCAAAATCCATGCAAGATTAAACTGTAACGAGACACAACTTTGGTTAGAACCACATTAGATTTTAACGTTTATTCCAACTTAATTTTTGGTCTTTCAATAAGTAAAAAAATAACAAAACACATGTATTTTTTCCTCAGTTTCGTCTTTAAATCATTTTTTAAACTTAATATAGATTAAATTTAAAATTGGTAATTTTTAATTTTATAGTATAATTTAATATTAATTAGAATGAATTCTATTTTAGTCTAACACTAACATTTAACTATTAAATAATTATTATAACCAAAGTTCGTTGCCAAGTTTTTTGAATTTTCATATACTTGTATTTTGTTTGGTCATTCCAGCTTATGTAACAGAGTTTCCCCTAGCAAGGGGTCTTTAATAGATTTGAACATTTTAAAACGCTTTTTTCTACATTCCACACCATCATTTGATAAGACACCAGAAGTGTTGAGAAAAAATGGCTATTTTTTAGTGATTTTATAACAATAATATATTATAAAAAAATGTAAAAATTTCGAATAAATAATTATATATATATATATATATATATATATATATAATTATTTTTTATAAAAAATTATAACATAAGTATGTTATAAGATCACTACAAAAATAGCCATTTTGTTTCAACACATTCTGTGTCTTCTCAAGTGATGATGTTGAAAATAAAATAAATGGTTTTAAAAGTTTCAGATTAATTAACGATCCTACACTCGGGGGAGCATTGTTACAAAAGCTAGAATAACCAATCAAAAACGAAGTATAGAAAGATTCAAAAGCTTGACAACGAAATCCTGCTATAATAGCTATTCAGATCTTTAAATACGTGTAATATTAAAAATAATTTATACTAACTAATAATTATAAAATTATATGATAAAATTTAATATTAAAATTAAAAACTGGTAATTTTAAAATCCAAATTTAATCACTATTAAGTTTAAAACTACAAAATTATTGAAAAGAAAAAAAATATATAATGGTTATTGGAATTCATTCCGTATATACCAATTATATACTTTGATATATATATATATATATATATATATATATATATATATATATATATATATATATATATATATATAAAGGTTCAATAGAATGATTGAAATGGTAAGAAAAAGAAGAGTAACAAAGGAAAAGGAAGAAAAAGTAAACAGGAACCCATATTACAAATTAAATTTGAGGATACTAAAATCAAACAAGTACAGAATTTAAAATATTTGGCAAGTGTTCGACACTGAGATCCGAAGTCATCTGCAAGGGATGGCTAAATATACATTCCAAACCTCAGCAAAATATTAAGAAACATATAAATCCCGTTAGAAATAAAGAAAATTGTACTGAACGGTTGCCTCTATATATCCTAGTATATGGCAGTGAATGCTGGAAAATCTCCTCAAAGATGAAGAAACTTGAAGCAACAAACATGTAGTTTTAGAGAAAGGTGTTGAGGATATCATTGGCCGAACGTGTGAGCAACGATGAGGTTTTATGGAAACAAAAAGGTAACTGTTATGGTCCAGGTTAGGACCAAGGAATAACAACACGAACACAAGAGTAGACATAACGAAGGTATATTACACGAAATAATGATACAAGATGTGGAAGAGGTTAGTATGACTGTCAGTCTGGTTTGGAGTGAACTACTATCGGCTCGACTCGATTCGACCCTCTATTTTGAGAGGCGTAGTATACAGTGTTAGGAAGAGCTCATTCTGTAGTTATAGGTAAGGATCCATGACAGTAACTTATACTTTACATCAGGAAGAGGCAGTTGAAATTTCCGTGGCACATAATAAGGAAGGAGTGCTCGGAAAATACTCACAGGACAGATCAAGGTGGAAAAGGGACAGGAAAGCAGTGCGTAACTTATTTGATGAGCTTGAGCAAATGGTTGGTAGAACAGGGTTTGGGAAAAATTCCAGAATGACAACATTTTTTAAGAGCTATGAGGGACAGGAAACTTTAGAGGACCATGATCTCCTACGTCCTGAATGGGCACGGTACATAAAGACACAACGAAGTTAAACAAAGAATAAGATATAAAATAGAGTAGTAGCATGTATAGAAGCCACCGAGAAAACTTCAAGAAAATCTGCTCTTCGCCGATAGACATCATACACGCTATTAAAAAAAAACAAAAAACGGAGCGTCTATTTCAAACACGGTTGTCCACTAAAAATAACTCTTGAAGTAATAAAAATACCGGATTAAAAGTAAATTTCTCGAATTATAATTAATTCTCTAGAAATATACGTGGTGCGGCAGAAATACATCCCACAAATACCTCCCAAATAATGGTACGATATTAGTGTCAATTATATGGGAGTTATATTTGACGCGCTCTGTATAGTATATTCAAATATTATTATAGCGGATACGTGTATTTGAAAGAGAATACTCATTTTTTATTTTTACTTTAAACAGTGTATTTCGTCTATCTGTTTGAGAAAATGTGTTCGAATGTGTACACACTCTTTAGCTGATGACTATTTTCTTACATGCGCAGAAGGACTCAAACATTTCGAAATGTCAACTAAAGACAAGGCTGCATCAATTGGCAACATTCTACGCAATGAAAACATCATTTCTATCTCCAGAACCGAAAGCTTACAACAAACAGACAAATCAACACAAACTTCACAACTTACGCACAGTAGGTGGAAAGAGATCGGTAACTCTAATCTATTAGGTTGGTGCAACAATAATGTCGTTTTCTCACATGTTACTTTTATATATGATTTCTGAATTAATTCATTGATATATATAGCCATGTTATATATCATTTTGAAGCGCGTTTTTCGCTCTATCGAATCGTGTTATTCGTTACCCTTCTCAATCTCTTCATTCATTTTTTTTGCAGGCTTTTCGACAGCATGGACAAAATTCAAATCCGCACGATATTCTTGTTCCAGTTCAAACTAGGCCGAAAAGCTGCCGAGACAGCTCGTGATATCAATGATGCGTTTGGCCCAGGAACCACTAACGAACGTGTGGCACAACGGTGGTTCAAGAAATTTCGCAATGATGAGAGCCTCGAAGATGAAGACGGTCGCGGCCGGCCGACTGCGGTTGTTAACGAACATTTGAAAGCCTTAATTGAAGCCGATCCTCGCAAAACCACACGAGAAGTTGCTGTTGAACTCGTGGTCGACCACACAACAGTCGTTCGCCATTTAAAGCAAATAGGGAAGTCAAAAAATGGGTGCCGCATGAATTGAACGATAATCAAAACAATCGTCGTTTTGAGGTGTCTTCTACGCTCCTTCTGCGCAACAAAACGACCCATTTCTCGAGCGGATTAACGTGTGATGAGAAGTGGATCCTCTACGACAACCGGCGACGTTCGGTACAGTGGTAGGATGCCGGAGAAGCTCCACAACACTTCCCGAAGCCGAAATTGCACCAAAAAACAGGTTATGGTGACTGGTGGCTTCTTGAATCCGGGCGAAACGATTACGGCGGAGAAGTACTGCCGACAAATTGACGAAATGCACCAGAAGCTCCAACGTATGTGCCCGAGATTGGTCAATATGAAGGGACCAATTCTCCTCCATGACAACGCTCGCCCGCATGTTGCACAACTGACCCTGCAGAAGCTGAACGAACTGGGCTACGAGACTCTGCTTCATCCGCCATATTCACCGGACCTCTCGCCCACCGATTATCACTTTTTCAAGCATCTCGACAACTTCCTGCGCGAAAAATGATTCAAAAGCCGAGATGATGTCGAATCGGCCTTCAATGACTTCATCGCTTCCAGAACTCCGGATTTCTATGCTAATGGGATAAATAAACTTGTTTCTTGTTGGCAAAAATGTGTCGATTCTAATGGTTCTTATTTCGATTAATAAAGTTTATTATGAAAGGAGTTATGATCTTTTGAAGTTGAACATCAAAAAACGACATTATTTTTGCACCAACCTAATAGGATAAATCATTTCTTATACCAAATTGAAATGGAAGCTTTAAGTTTAAATTTACCACGGGATTGAGAAAAGATGACAACATTAACTATAAACCATATATTCGACCACACCAAATTTGAAAAAAGGTTTCATATAAGGTATCTCAGCAGCCAGCCTTATAAATGCCGATGAAACTACATTACCCAGAAGAAATTTACTGGTAAAAAAAAAATAAAAAAATAAAAAACTTATGCAGGAATAAAAAAAATAATCCTAATCCCACCCAATAAAGGAGGCGGAATAGTCATAATGGATATCAACATTTAAATTGAAAAATTAGATTCCTTCTTAAATGATGATAACACTTACATAAAAACCAATGAACAAACAGTAAATTGAAACACTGAAAATTTCAACAGTAGTTAAGAAACTAATTAAAAAGTGAAAACAAATCCTGGACTAGACGAACAAAATACCAACCTACTACACCTATACTACATAGCAAACTCTAAGGCATAAAACCATCAGGCACATTGTTTCCGCTATCAACAGTGTACCCTACAAATTAGCAAAAGTTATCGTAAAAATCATGACTCCATCCTTAGGCACCATCAACCCAAAAGTCATTAATAAAACTGGTGAATTAACCCGGAAGATACGAAGCACAAACGGAAAGCCACGTTCTGGCGAGCTTAGATATAGCTTATCACTATATACAAATATATCCTTCACAAAATGCCTCAACGTTTTGAGAAACCACCTCAAAATTTCAAAGAAATACTCCATATGCCTGCACATAAAATATGTAAAGTAACTAATGTTTCTTCACTTTCAATAAAAATTTCTATAAACAAAAATTCGGATCACCTATTGGTGGTGTCCTTTCTTGTCTTTTTCTAGATTTTGAGTTCGATTCGTTTAAACTCTACTTACCAAAGATCTATAGATGACGTTCTTTTATTATATCCTCATCATATAAATCTATTAGATATAATAAATAAACTTCATCAAGTTGGGCCTACCATCGAATTCACTCAGGAAAAAACGAGCTTAGAAAATCCATAAATCCAAAAAACTAGGAACCACAAAAAGTACTTCTAACAGCACAATTCAAGAAAATCGGAAATATAATTTGGAAGAAAAATAAATCTAGAACCAATTCAGACGCCGTTAGTTATCAAATAAATTGTTTACAATGTATAATAGTTTATGTCGAGGAGACATCACGATATCTCAAAACCCGTATCTACGAACATAAAAGATTTACATTTAGAAAATCATTCAAATCTCGTAACACACAGGAACAAAATTGGATATAACTTCGATTTTACTAATGCCAAACTAATAAAATAAAAACTAAGAAAGGAACATAATTATTTACGAAGAAATTACTTCGTGAATCTATTAATAACAATATTACGAACTATAAGCACACGTCAAAACATTACATTCCCAACATTTATCATTTATTCTTAAAAAATCTAACGTATTTTTATCTAAAACAAACGATGTCTACGTAAACACGTCCCCTAATCAACATGCGAAAAACCAACAAGCATGTCTACTAGAATGACGATGATGATGATCCGCTGCATCTTCACAGATGATGGCCGCCTAATCACGTTCGCTTCCCACCTCGCAACTCTCTTGTGCATGACCCCGAAGGTGACTTGCCAGGCCGGTTGCGGACTTGCAAGACTTGTTACACAAGTCACAGATGAACAATGTGCTTGCCACAACCTTGATGGATTCACACATCTGTTGTCTGATTCCTGTGCACCACCATGTGCCTTTTCTATGCAGGCTGTGTCACTGTGTCTGTGAATGTCAAGTGTGATTTTTTTTCTTTATGTAACTTTACATGTTTCACCCAGCCAGCCTTTGAAAAATGTACGCGCTGACAGAAATCACATGTTCAACCCTTGATACCCTCGTCGAGTCTATTGTTACCACCCATCCGAAGTCGCTGATTCAGCCGTTTGTGTTCCAGACGACATTTTTTCGAAGAGTTGACACCCATCTCTTATTTGACCTCTCCATCCAGTTCTATCTAGGGCCATCTCTTACCAATTGTTGAAGTCAAATGCCAGCTTTTTTAGGTTGTTTTTGATACAGTCCTTGTATCTTTTCCTTGGTTTGTGCTGAGTACGACTTCCAATACTCAGCACATCATAAAACTATTGTTTTGGGAATCTACTATCCTTCATTCGAATTATGTGTCCTGTCCATCGCATTTGGGAAGATGTTACAAGAGTGTCTATGCTTCGGTACTTGACTCTAACTAGGACATTATTTGGCATTCAATGTACGTCTCAGACATTTCTGCTGGAAACGCTCAAGTATTTGTGTATGTTTGTGTCCAAGTTTCGGAGGCGTATAGAAAAAACTGTCAGAACGCAAGCTCTATATACAAATACCTTCGTATGGTTGGTAATGTCACGAGCTACCCATACTGTCCTTTCCAGCTTTCCGAAGGCCGTAGAGTCCTTCTGGATGCGTATATATATTTCAGCATCCAATGAGCCATCTTTTGTAAGAGTGCTGCCAAGGTAAACAAACTTCTCAACTACCCCTAATCTTATGACATGAACAAAGACGTTGGGCTCGATATATAGCTCTTCGGGGTCAGGAGTAAACATTACCTTAGATTTTATGATGCTTATCGTTAGACCAAATGATGTGCATGAGGATGAGAAACGGTTCATAATATGTTGCATGCCAACTTCTGTATGAGCTAAGAAGTCAATGTCATCTGCATAGAGTTGGTATCTAATCAAAGTTTGAAAAATTAAAAGGATAGAGAAAATCGTGGGAGCAGGTATATCGCCCTGCTTTAAGTCATTGTCAATAGGGATTTCCCCTGAGAGTTATCCCTTGAAAGTATCCCGGGATCTTATATTCCTGTGTATACTATCTAGACGTGCATACATAGATACATGCATACACGCACAATTATCATCTGAATTCTACATAGACAAACTAGAATTATGATACGATTACATATATAAAGCAATATTTACGGTTTTTAAAGCTAAGTTTGGAATCTGTTAATTTCTTGAAACTTGGATAGACGCGTCGTCTGTCCTTGAATTCGGAATGTCACAAATTATGCTAACGTTGGTTCAAAAAGTCGAATACACGTGAAACACGACAGACCAATAAAAACTAAACACAAAAGTAGAAACACCAGAATTTCCTTCTTCTTTTTCTCCATATATCAGTCTCTGATGAAACTTTAATAAAAGCGAAACATGTTTGATAAACGTTTCCTATTTGTTCTTCATCTTATCCCACTGTCTAAAGTAAAAATAAAAAAGGTTACGTCTATTTCATTTACACGTATCCACTAATAATAATTTTAATAGCGTTTAATGAAAATATGGCATTAAAAATAAATCTATCATTCCTTCAAAAATATATAGAGAATAAAGAAAAAGATGAGCCTCCGAAGAAGCAATTTGAACGAACATTTTATATATTCAGCTTTAATGACAAATCGAAAAAAAAAAACAGGAAAATTAATTGAATAATGTAAAAAGTAAAACTGATAAATAAAAGGGAAATATATGAAAGCGATTAGCCATTTCCAGACGGTGATGGCCAGTGTGACTATTGATGTTTTATTGCAATCGACTTCGCGTGTAGCAGCAAAAACCACATGTTCACGAAAAAAACGTATAGATTTTGGAATATTCCCTGTCGAATATATGCGTTATAGGGAACGCATCTTATAGAGATAGTTCGCAAGCTGAATTTAATTTTAGCTCATAACTGGCAATATTGAAAAATCAAGTTCGTTCGGGAAACATTTGAGTAAAGTAGAAAGAGCAAAATAATAGAGAAACCAATTCTTATGTTCTTAATCATCCTGCTGTTATGTGCAGGTATACCTTCTGGATGTGAATCTCGTGGCTCTCCACAACTTCCTAACTTTTATCACCCATAGCTACGTTTTATTTTTTACCATCTCTCACACTCCCCATTTTGCCATTACTTCATATAGTATCATCAGATATGTACGCCTCTGGTGCTTTTTTCTTCGATATATCCTGTCAGTGTCAAATTCCCTAAGTCCTCTTTCCTCGTTATGTGTCCCAGAAATGTCAGTTGTCCTTTTGTATCCATTTTACTGAAAACTTCATTGTTTAAACTCTACGTCCAAAGCATTGCCAGAACTTTCTGTAGAACCACATTTCTTTTGTGTTCTGCATTCTCATAGAATTATAAATAATGGTGATGATAATATTAAATGTTTCCTTATGAGGAAACATTCAGCTTTTACAGACCATGCAGCGAGTGCTGATATCGGTTGAAATTTATAAAATTTATAAAATGTCACTATTAAATCAGCTTTTCAAGAAGATAAGTTTCTCAAGTCCAGTAGCATTTATCTTCTTTCTAGTATTGATGTGGCGGTTCCTTCCTAACTTTTTGTTCGAATTTTATGGAACATCTACATTTTGACTGTCATTGCTATCTTTCCAAGTTACACGCTTTCCATTTTAGTCGTTGCTGTTGTTGAAAATCTTAATATAGTTTCTATTATTTGGTCTAATTCCATTTTGTAATGTGAAGGACGTTTATTTCTCACATCAAATAATTTTTCTCGCTTCGAAATTTTTATACTATTCGATTCAATTTAACAGTTTTCTTTGGCTTTTTAAACTTTCGCGGGTTATATAAAGCCAGAAAATATATTTAGATTATGAAACATTTGGGAAGAGAATGATTTAATTATTATAAATTTTACTAATTAACTCATAACTGGGAGGGGAAGGGGTGAATCCATAACTTTACCTTTATTTGCGCGTAAGTGAATATAATGAACCCTGATTTAAACTCTGCTTTTCGATTAACAATTCCGAGCCGTTATCCATTACTTCAGCTGAACATCGAATTTCTCAAGCGGTCACCCATCTAGGTACTGAACAGACTCGTCCTTGCTTAACTTTGGTGATTGTACGGGAACAGGTGTTTAAACGTGGTGTTACCGTAAGCGTTTTGCCATGAAATATCGTTGCCTTCATCTAATGCATTCCGTATTGTTGTAAAAGTATTCATTTTTCATCAATCTCTCAATTTATGAGAAAAAAAAAAACTTTCAACGTGACATGGCCATAGGCCCCCCATCAAATTTATACTAGAAATTTGGTTAATTTATATTATATATATATATATATATATATATATATATATATATATATATATATATATATATATATGGTGGACATTGAAGTCAAACCCAAAGTCCACTGTGTGCTCCATGCTAAACATAATCGTCAGGCGCGACCATTTCATTTAAGCATGAAACAGACAGTTGCCTCTGGCCGTTGATTTCAATGTCCACTTTTATATTTACATAAGGTCTAGGGCACCTTAGCCCATAAATATATCATACCTTGCAACTGTATTTTATCACACACACACGCACACACACACACACATATATATATATATAAATATATATCTATATAATATGTTCGTTCATAATTTGGTGGTGACAAAATAGCAATCCATTCAAAGGTAACAAGATATGATTCCGGCAAGAAAAAGCAGTGATATGAAGACATCAGGAAAATGGACAGAAAGAAAACGGATTAAAAATGAAGACGGATATTAATATTGGGGTCGGGTGTTGAGGGACAATATTCTAAGGCTTTCTTTGCTGAAGTCCGAGTGACAACAGGATTCTTTTAGTTACCAGTATTTGTTTTAAAGACGTAGCTGTTGTTTGTCGAATGATTGTCAGAATTCCTTCAATTTTGAATTCTTCTAAGATGGCTGTTAAATATCTCATTACTGTTACATAAACTTAAAACAACATGAGCGATGAAATCGTTTTCATATTTCTGTGTATTTAGTGTTAAATGAAAATATTTATCTTCTTTTTTCAAATATTGTTTCTATATTCAGTGTCAGTATTGCGTATCTCAGCCTGTGAATACATTTTTTTGAGCGTAGGCTCTTCATCCAAATTCACCGTGCTTAGTACAATAGATGTTGGATGGGGGAGGATGTGACACACTTGGGCGATCAATTCATAATCCTTTGCATGTTGGTACTAAATGTCTACTACGGTCAACACTGAAGATAAATTGATCACATCTGCAGTACGTTCCTCAGTATGTTCTGTCCAGCAACGCTGTGGCTTGGGCAGTCTCAAAACTTTGATTTTGAACTCCTTCTATCTAGATACAATTATTTTATTAATGGTCGCTCTTCTCCCCTTTTATCTTGCGTATATTTTCAACCCACGGATAAGGTCCTTTTATTTCAACCTTCTCCGTCAAGACCATTTTACAGTGCATGTCAGGTATTTCCTGCAGTGGTACAAGTAACCAACGATTTTTCCGGCATCTTTATCGACAGTGAAATGCATTCAATAATAATCCAAGAAAATTCCATATGACACGACACAACCAAGCTGAAATGTTGCATAAGTTCTTGTTGAAATAGCCTACGGCCATATCACGTTGAAACATCGGTTTCCGTACGGTCACCAAAGTTAAGTAACATCGAACCTGGTCATTATCTATATGTGTAACCAGGTCCTGTACGCTTGTATGTGCAGGTAGTGTAATGGATAACGACTCGGAATTATTAATCGGAGAGCCGAGTTCCAATTCCAGTGAATGATACTCCTATACAAGATAGCAAAAGAAAAAGAAAGGACGAACTATTTAATGTAAAAAGAAAATATATGTTTGTCAGTAAAAGAGTTAATCAAATACATTCTCTTAAGTCCTCCTTCTTCTATAGTCATTGCTAAACTGTAGATGCTCTGCAAAATCTCAAGCCTCAGCATAGTTTCTATGTAAGTCAGTGATAAATTATTTGTTCGTCTAACGTCTTTGCAGCCGAAGAAAGGTTTCATATAAAGTGGTACTTTCGGATACCGGGGGGAAAAATCTAAACGTTTGCAAAGGCAGATGTAATATACAATATTTTAAGGCGAAACCGCCGTAAAACAGGAAGAAAAAACGAAAGAAAAAAAAAAAAATGAAATGAGAAAGAAATAAAAAAAAAGAATGGACGTGAAGATAAATAAAAAAAAAGAATAGAGAGAGAGAGAGAGAATGATAATCGCGATGAGTGAGAAAGAAAGAAATAAAAAATAATTGCAAAGAGAGTGAGAGAGAGAGAGAAATAAAAATAATAATCTCAGAAAGAGAGAGAATAATAAACGTGAAGAGAGAGAGAAATAAAAATAATAATCTCAGAAAGAGAGAGAATAATAAACGTGAAGAGAGAGAGAGAAAGAAAAATAATAATCGTGAAGAAAGTGTGTGAGAGAGAGAGAGAGAGAGAAATAAATAAAAATAATGATCGTGAAGAGAGAAAGCGAAAAAAAAAAATCGTGAAGAGAGAGGAAGACAGAGAGAGAGAGAGAGAGAGAGAGAGAGAGTGAGTGAGAGAAAGAAAGAAATACAAAATAATAATCGCAAAAAGAGAGAAAGAGAAAAAAATGAGCGAGGAGTTTCTCTCGTTCAATATTTATTCGGACGTTCATCCGTTTCCTTTTTCCTGCTCAATACGAACTAAAATAAGGGATGATCAAGAATCTAGACGTCGTCAGAAACGAGAAAGAAAAATTGCATGTCGGAGAAGACAATGGCGACGATCACTAGTTGCCATGACACATTTGTAAATCAATCATGGCCATGTTGATGTCTAAACCAAATGATATTCTCTTTTGTAAATGAAGCCTTCTGTAACTGAAAATGTAATATGAGGATATAAAGGGTTTGATATATAAGCGTTCGCTTAAAGCGAATGCGTCATTTTTTTACTTTTCCACTTTGTTTTAACTTTATTCTGACTTCGGATGTGAATTTGTGGGGAATGTAGACAAACAGATTAAATATATTTTCGCAAGGAAAATAAATAAAAGCTGGGGGTAAAATTCATTTAAGAAAATGCAGTTTGAAACTTTTTGATGTGAGAAATGGATTGATTGATGAAGCCATGAATTATTTACCTGCGATTATATACAGATTAAATAAAAATGGAAACGAAACGATAAAATATATGGTTTTACTTGGAGTATGAAGATCAAAACTTATGAAAAAATAAAAAGTATTTGCATACTCAGGATCAGTTCCATGCAATTGACACTTCTTTTGCAGTTTAACACTCCAACTTTCTCAAAGTAAGAAAACCGCAGGCTCGATCCCTTCAAAAGTCAGGTATCCTTTATTAAATATAACTTTTAAGAAGGTTGTTTAGTGGCTATCATTTAAATTAGTGGTTCGCAAACTGCGGCGAGCCTTATAAGTGTGACGGAAGGGGATAACAAGTGAGACGGAATGATTGAAAGATAATAGATAAATAATAAAGATAATAAAATATAATAGATAAAGATAAAAGATAATATAGATACAGTTTCCTGCTGGACATTGCTTGCTACAATATGGCTTGCATAATCTAGGAATTCCTCGCAGAGAATATGCTCAACCAGTCACTGCCAGTACCACTTCTAAGTTTTTTTTTTCTGATTCAAATCTCCTTTGATATATGGGGCGTTGTCGAGGGGGAAACCACCCAGCGGCGTTCTATATTACCAAAAATTCTCGGGATGTCGCCAGATGCAGCTGTTTTTAGGGACCTAGTCGCCTCCGAGATTGCATGGGCACTACCCTGTCAGTTTCGAGTGATTTTATTGAATAACATTTTTTTCAGATTTTGTAATTTTTTTTAATCATTGCACCCAAGCAAGTCATTAATGCCACTAGGACGCAGGAGGTTACGAGAGAAAGTACTATTTAGGAGGAAGGACAATAAAAGAACAAATATTAAGAAGTATTAAGAAGACAGAAGATAACGATATACATTGCATTTAAAATTTTGAAGATCAGTTCTAAAAGTGAGAAATGCGACAGAACAAACTTTTAGCATAGAACTTTGGGTTACATCTAGCCTATTTAATTATAAAATGATGTGATCTTGCCATCAAATTAGTACTGCGCTTAAATTCATAAAGTCTAGGTAACATAGCGCGACATCGTTTTAAATAGTTGGTTCACTAAGTTGTAAATAAGTACATTTTTATGTCGAATGTCTTTATCTTTGGATTATAAATGTTTTTCAGAGACGGTTTTGGCAGTGAAGACCGAGATGGGGATTCCATGAATGTAGCAAATTGCTCAAGGTGGACGAGTTCCATAGCCATTTTTCTTTTACAAAATTTGTGTGAGAAAATCTGATAACGGAAAGGAGTTACAGTTGCCTCTTTTCCTCTTTAAATATACCCTCATTTCTAAAGTAAATAGCATATTTCAAAGAACATATATTATCATATCTCTGTCAGTAGAGTCTTTTGCCAGCTTACAGTATTTGATTCTATTAGAGATAACGGTTTTTTAAAGTTGCCCATATATCCGTTTTCTGTAGACATGCTATTCCCCGCGTGAATAGTCTGTCCGTCTAAATGAAGGGTCTTGGGAATACATTGGTTGTCTTGGTTGCATATTTTTAATAAAGAGATTCAAGTGCTTAGTGCGCAGAATGAAAATGCAATGTTGATGGAAACAGCTGGTGTTGTATATTTGAGTGAATCTCACCGACGTCGATTACATCGGCCTTTCTAGAAAGTTCAGGCTGCTAGACAAATAAACGGGATATCCATTAAAAATAACATTTAAAGTCATAAAAAATCTGTCGGATTAATAAATTCAAAATTCTCGACTTCTTTAAAAATAGATTTGTTTATGTTTCGGGTAGGAAACTGAGTAGTTATGAACTTTTGAAGATTTGGACGAAGAAAAGAACCTCGCTTAATCCTAGAGTTCGAAGTTTTCTACTGCAAAGGTGGACTCAGACTCGAATCATGCCGGAGGAGGCATTTGTTGTTTAATATGATTTCTCGAATGTTCAGGCTGGTACCCGAAATAAAATACTGTTTAAAAAAAGTAAACGGAGTGTTTATTCAAATATGAGTATCCACTAAAAATAAGGTTGAAAGTAATAATAATATGGTAGATTAATATAAAAAAAAAT